GTACTTTGAAACACATTGAGTTAGAGCACAGATTGTTGCTACAATGAAGATGCTCAAAAATACAGTGGCTAAATACGACATACATGTATTTCTTCCTCATACACTTTCCAAATACAGGCAAATAGTCTAGAACAGGTAGACATCTACATGATCATTCAGAGTCCTGGGCTGGCAGATCCCTCAACATATGACTTTCACCTCTTAGTCCAAGGAGATGCTACAGTTGTAGCCATTTCAGAGTTGCCCGTAAGTGGGAAAGAGGAAATCCAGGGTGAGTGGCCTTATCATTAACAGGATGCTTCACGTGATTTTGGCTACCTTTCCACTGGGCTGAGATTATTTACATGACTATACAGAGCTTCAAAAGAGACTGAAATATAGTCTCTACCTAGGAGTTTAGTAGCAAAATAGGGACTTTCTATTACTAAAGAAAGAAAGGGAGAATAGATAGTTTAGCCCTTTCTGTCACAGTGAAAAAATATGTTTAGAGATTTAAGCTAAGGTTAAACTATGAAGGACTTGGAGATTGAACACTGATTAAAAACAATACAGACAATAAAGATATCAGTTAAAAAAATAAAATTTCAGTTATGTAAAATAGATAAGGAATGTTGAGTTTATCACCTTATAAATCAACTCCTTTTATCATAGCTTATATAGATAATAGAAAAAGCTTATGTGTATAGCCTAACTTTTAAAAGCATATTTTAAAATAATGTAATTGTCTTTGTGCATTGTTATTGTTAGTTGCCATCAAGTCTCATGGCAACCTTATGTATAACAGAACAAAATGAAACGTGGTCCTGCATTATCTTCATAATCGTTTACATGTTTGTGTCCGTTGTTGTGGCTATTGTGTCAATCCAATTCATTGAGGGCTTCCCTCATTTTCATTGGTCCTCTGCTTTACCAAACATGATGCCCTTTTCTAGTGATTGGTCTTTGGATATGTCCAAAGTAATCAAGTTGAAGTCTCGCCGCCCTTACTTCAAAGGAACATTCTGGTTATATTTTTTCTAAGACTCATTTGTTCTTTTAGTAGTCCACAGTATTCTTCCCTAATGCTGTAATTAGAATGCATCCATTCTTCTGTTTTTCTTTTTCATTATCCAGCTTTATGCATTACTGGTCTTTTTTTTTAAATTATACTTTACTACTGTTTTCATGGAGCTATCAAAAAAAAAAAAAAACCTATACCATTGTCATTGAGTCTGTTCCAACTCTTAGCTAGGGATGGAAAATGCATTTGGATCAAATATATATTTCCATTTCATACTGTGGATGATCACTGCCACAGGTAGGATTCCATAGAATCCGAATCTGAGATAGAGATTCAATTGCATATGATTTACTGAGGAAACGATCTCAGGAAAAATCTATCAGGGAGTAAGTGGGACAGGACAGAGAAGGAGAAAGAGCCGAGCAAGGTTAGGGTCTCAGGTAAAATCTAACCTTTACCTGATCTGCAAGAGGAGAGGTAAATATACAGAGAAATTTTCCCCCCTTGAAGGAAGCAGGCAGTCTTTGATACACCTGTACTGGTCAGTCATTGAATATTGGCCACATTTGAGAGTAATGAGGGAATGGATAACTTCCCAGTCAGCAGGACAGCAACTTCAATCTCTTCAGAGAGATTCTCAATCTTAACCCTGATGAAGATGAATCACTGCTCTTTTCAGGAGGGACATGTTCAATATAATCACTAAATGCTAGGATAGTGCTGTTTCTGGGTCTTATAACTGGTCTTTGTTACTGGCAGTTCAGATATTCAGCGGTGACAATGACTAGAGCACACTTGTGAGAAGGAACCCATGCTGGCTTACATCTTAGCTACCACAGTTACTCCATTCATAAACCCATTGTATCAGCACTTGGTTAGCTCTGGACAGAGGCAGGGTGACATCAACTAGTGAATCGTCCTGTCCACGTGTTTATTTACTATCTCTTCCACATTGTATGCTCTTTGGTTTACATTAGTGAACAATACAAACATCATCATACTTTATGATCTCTCTCACAGTTCTATCCACAAGTGTCTTGCCTAGAACTTCTTATCCCTAATTTTCCTATCTTGCTCCTTCAAGTCCCCTGACCAACCCATCCCTAAGCCATTCACATTGCCCATTAATACAGTATATTCTTACCTTGGGCTATGTGTCTATTCACAAAAATGGATGACTAGGTACATTGCTCAAAACTCTGCTCATTGGAAGATTTCCCTTAACCACTGCTTTTTTGCTCGTTTGTTTGTCTGTTTGTTTAGGAACACCCCTGAGTAGGGTTATAGCACATCAAAAGTTCATTTTAGGTTTGTACCGACATGTGAGTCAACCCAGCCACAAAACAAGCTTGGGTTTCTCTCCCTTCATCAGCAGGTTATGTGGAACCTGCCAGGAAACTATAGAGATGAATTGAGGGTGAGACATCAGTGGAATAGTAATAGGTGACCTGGGGGTCTGGACCACTTGTTTATGAAACTTTCTTGTAGACCCTGGATCAGCTCAGGGCCAATCCTGGATGTACAATTTCCATCTTACAATGAACTGCTGCTGGACATAACTGAATTTATGACTTGGTAACCAGTTCATGATGGAAAATTATGACTTTAATGACCCATGACAAACACTGTTATCTCTTCAAGGGCCCAGAATCCTGAACGAGCTATTTTTTGAATGGTCTGTTGCAGATGGCCTGCAATGATGCAGAACCAGGGGTCTACATTATAGTTCTCCTCTGGGGCTTGCCAGAAACTCCATTTAGCATCCTTTTCTACCATAGATACCATAGTATTATGGGCCTGCCTGGATATATGGCCCAAGTGGAGGGTTGCTTCTACCTCACTGTGACCTCCTCCAGAGCCCTTCCTTGCTCTGAGCCCCACTCAAAACTAGGAGCCTTCTGCATCACCTGGTAAATGACTCCAAGTGGTATTTCTTAGTGCCATAATATGCTGCCTCCAAAACCCAAAGAGGCCTATCAATCATTGCCCTTTTTTCTTAGCAATAGGGGTTCCAAGGAACAATAACTCACTCTACTTTGGAGAAGATGTCTTGGCATGTCCCAGACCACTGAATCTCTAAAAACTTCACCAAGGGTGGCAGTTCCCTAAAACTTTGTAGATTTATCTCCTACTTTCTTGAGTCCATGTGTTTTATCAAGGAAGTCTGAGTATTTGCCACTTGTTACTCATCAGGTCCAATTATCATCACGTCATGAATATAGTGGGCCATGGTTAGGTTCTGCAGATGATACAGATCTCCTCAGTCTATATAATGGTGCTGGGAAGAATCAGCTTTTGAATATTATTTAAGAAAATAATATGTTTTTCTTTTAGTGCCAAATAACCATTTGCCCTCTTTCTTTCTTTTTTTTAACAAAGCTTCAAAGCAGGAAGGAGATTAAACGAATTCAATACCGAGAGTTCAAATGAAAAGGAGTTTTAATTTTGACATTCTTTAATTGAACCCTGAAAATTTAACTCTGGGAAGCATTTCTTGATGGCTTTCCTATTGCAACTGAATAAATGTATATTCTCTGCTAGAATAGAATGATATTGAGAAGCCTTGTAACTTTGTAGCACCTATATTTGGCAAAATGGTCAAAAGAATCATAATTATGATTTTCTTTTGACAAGTTTTATCTCAAAAAATATTTGTCAAAGAAAGACACTGTAAAGGAAAAATAACTATGAAAAATATTTGGTTTCTAAGATTCAGACATTTCATTATGAAAAAAATTGGAATTGGAAATACTGTCTTAACGGCATTTATTCTGAGCTTACCACAACCTCTATAGGAAAATACTTCCCCAGTTAAAAAAATATAGTAGCCAACAGAGAAGAGACAATTGAAGGTGTCAACATTTTCAAATTTATCAACCATGAAATGTAACTTTGAAAAGGATGGTAGGCAATTTTATGAAAAAAATGAAGCATAATAAAATCATACTGGAAGGAAATTACTCTTCAGAAGCATCTTAGTGATATACTAGAGAAAGATGTGACTAAAGAACTGATTAAAGAACATAAATATGAGCTACAAATGAGTATTTAGCTTGAGTCGTTTTAATATTTGGATAATAAAAATAAAAATATTAATTTTCTTGAATGTCTAATATTATGTTATTTTTAGAAAGGATTTTGTATAATATATGCCTTATATAGATCACCAAGATAGCAAAACAATTTATTAATCAATAAAAATCTCAAAAAATCTATTATTTTCATTTTAAGGATGTTTTTTATTTTTCAAAAGTGTCCTGATTTGGATGATAAATTATATAGACACCCAAGTAGAATGCAATGGAGAATGAAACAGAAGGAGAAAATTAAGATGGGGATAAAATTTGATTGATGGATATGTTGCATATGTTGGGTCTGAATATTCCTCACTGCACCCATATGGCAATGACACATACATAATTTAAAATACAAGTCTAGAGCTTAGGAAAGAAGTAGGGCTAGAAGTAATGATTTAGATGCTATCAGCTTATGGTTGTGGTTGAACTATGGGTGCTGCTAGATCACAGCTGGGTCAACGAAGAACAGCACATAGTGTGAAAAGAAAATGAAAAATTGGCCAAGCCTGAACTTCAGAGATGGCATTCCATCCTCTAGGGAAAAAAAAAAAATACGAAGGATTACAGCCAAGCACGGATATCTGAGACACTATGGTCAGACCAGGTTAATCCAAGTTAAAATCTCTTGTATAAAGATGCAAAATATAAACCCAGAAATAAAGTAGAATCTCAGTGTTTAGAACCGAGCCAAACATTAGAAGAAGATGAGAGCAGGATTGACTTCATACTGAGCTCCAGTGTTGAAGAAAGTGAAAGCGCCAAGCACTTCATAAGGAAAAGATTTGGGAATCAGGGAACCAGAGTGGGATCTAACTCCTAGCTCTGGATATAAAGCAAGAGCTTGATTCCACCTTTGAACTTTTTTTAGGGAAAAGAGCCAAATATTCACACATAATAACATTAGTTACTCTTTCTTCTTGTAGAATCCATGTGATGATAAACGGCACAAAGACATCTGGTCCAGAGAGAAAACTTGTGACCACTTACCAAAATTCCTTGTGATTGGGCCACAAAAAACAGGTAAGAATTGTCAGTTGTGATGCTTGCATTCATTTTTTTAATTACAAAATAAATCGTTATATGAAATACTTGGATTTGGTTTTGCCCTGTGAAATATGTAGACATCTAGGCAAGTTAATTATTTGGAACTGTTTTTGATCCGTGCCCACGGATCATCTTTATGCCAAGACCCTCAAGTGGATCCTAATGCTATCTACTAATTACATCTAAGCACTAAATTCTTTAGATTTTAAAGCTGTGTCAAATTTTTTGACAGTTTTCACTCACAGTTGTGGTACCTGATTTTTCTTTCCCTTTTTTTTCTTTTTTTTTTTTTTTTTTTGTGCCTTTGCCCAATTAATTTCTGAGTTAAGTTTTAAAAAAATGTTTTGGCTAAATTCAAGGGTATTTTGCAGCCTTGAATTGGTCTTTTTTTTTTTTTTTTTCAGAATCACTACAACTATTACTGTCAAATACTTTACATGTGTGTTAATAATCGTTATGCATAAATATGATTTAGACTTATTTTCTGATATACCTGAGGCTCATCAGACATTTTTTTTCTTAGTATTTTGTCATGTGCTGAAGGACAACTGTATAAGAATGTAGTGAAAAAGAGTGGAAGTATTTCACAAATAAGATGACACTTTCAATTAGAATATTTTATACTTTCTTCAGTATGTGACAGTTTTATATACTTTTCTCATGTCTAATTAAAGTTTTTATTGAGTTGATATATTTTGAATTCACTACTTTGACTAGCAGCATTTTCATCAGTGAGTGCACAAGCAATAACACAATACAAATAGTTCCAATAAATAAGCCTGACCCAGACATATAATACATGCAAGGAGATCATTTTAAAGATTGTGGGCAAAAGTTCCAGACTACTAGATATTTGTTGTTGAAATATTTTCTTCCTCCAGGAATATAAATTGTATTACAACACTAAGTTACACATGTGCAGAGAGGGGGAAAAAAAAAAAAGAAAACAGCACGTACTTTCAGATATTTCACTTTTTTTGTTGTTCTTTAAAATGTGTATGAATTTTCAACCAGCTCCCTTGCGTCAGTGCTAACTCTGGAATGACTACTAACGAAATAAAACATTGCTGTGTCATAAAATGATGTTAAAATTTAATTTAAACACATATCTTCTATCATTTGTCAGTGAATATTATTTTTTCTTAGTTCCACTGGAAAATTACAGGCTAGTAAGTATAAATCTGTTTTTCCTCCCGGTTGTTCCTATTATAAAGACAATAAGTTAAACCTTTATATTTTAGTATTTGACCTACCAGTATAGGACTGAAAAAGCTTTTAGCTGGTTCTAAGACAAACAAAGAAATTGGATGATAATAATAATGTTTTATATGCTATGAAAATATTATTCTAATATGAAAATGATTGTGATCATTTTTACAATCCATTCAATCATAGAAGTATGAATGTAAATTTGTTCTCCTATTGCTTCAGTTGGCAAAACCCCCACTGCTGTTGGAGACTGTTAATTCCCTGGAGGGGGTAGTCACAGATAAATGTTAGGAATCTAGCCCTAAAGGCATAGTTGTCTTTAAACAACTTAATGGTGGTGCATGCATCCCTTACAATAAACTTGAAGTACAAAAGTGGTCTTCAAACTGCTCTTTACTCAGTTATTGTGAGGTGAGAACAGAAGGACATGATATCCCAATTCTCCATTGTTGAATCCTAGAAGGGATTCCTGCCAACTGAAAGGAGATCAGAGAGCAGAGGTGGGAGAAAAAGAAATAGGCAGGGAGCACGATTACAGCCAAGAAAATCCTATGGGGCAGTTCTTCTCTATCACAAGGGGTTGCTCTCAGTCAGAACTGACTTGAAGGCACCCAACAACATGATAGCCTTCACCTTAAACTCAAAGTGTAAATTATAATCCTTCTCTGATCCTTTTGACAGATGAGCATCCATCATGACCCAGGGTCAGATTTTGGGACTCCCAGTGTAGGAGATGGAGGGGCGTCAGGAGGCATCTGACAGGAAGCAAGGAGAAAACACTTTCAGCTAGGGACAGTAGACTGGAGCCCTGGTGGCGCGGTGGTTAAGAGCTTTGGCTGCTAACCCAAAGGTTGGCGATTTGAATCCATCAGCTGCTCTTTGAAAACCCCATGGGGCAGTTCTACTCTGTCCTATAGCCTTGCGATGAGTTGGAATCGACTGGACGGCAATGGCAAGAGTAGGAGGCAGTTTCTAAAAGGGTTACATTTAGAACAATAATTCTGAGAGCATTATGCATTGGCCTTAAATCTTCCATAAGATGGATTCCTGTTGTCAATATTAATTTCTTAACATTTGACTGGCTTAACACCTGCACATCGAAACCAAAGAGAAGTTGGTTGTATATAAAATAGGATAAATTTTTTCTTAGGTTAATAAGTTTAAGGCCTATTGTTTGTCCTCCACAACATTTTTATATTGAAGAAAATGGGTATAAATAAATGGCAAGAATAACAAATGAAAACATACTTGATAATAGAAAATATACACTTTGAGGGGGTGCACCCAGATTTTATGGCAGATTATATGATTATCAGTGGTCCCTGGGTGGTGCAAACAGTTTACACTCAACTACTAACCTACAGATTGGCTATTCCAGTCCACCCAGAGGTTCTGTAGAAGAAAGCCCTGGTGATCTGCTTCCATAAAAAATGACAGCTAAGAAAACCCTATGGAGCAGTTCTAGTCTGTAACACATGGGGTCATCATGAGTTAGAATTAACTCAATGGCAATGTTCTGTTTTTGTTGTTATTGCTACATTGAGCCACATGTCTACTGTCCCTAGTCGAAAGTGCTTTCTCCTTGCTTCCTGTCAGATGCCCTCCTGATGCCCCTCCATCTCCTGGCAGCACAAAGGTGTAGGGCTCATAATATAAAGGCTTGACTTTCTGTAGTCCTGGGGAGAAGGTACAATTCTGTGACCATCAGGGTGGTTAAACATTGTACATGCTACTGAATGAGGTTCTAAAGTATCTCTTTTCAGATAGTAAGCAATAATTCAGAAGTATTCCTTTATCTATGCCCTGGATCCATCTCAACACTTCAACGATATTAAATATCAATTTTCTCAGTTCTTCTGTATGTCTCAAAAATCTATTTCTCTCTCTAATGCATCATTCTCATCAACGTTTAAACAGCTTTAAGTAAGTCTCATTTTAAAAGGTATTAAAAAGAACTCTTCTTGATTCCATGTTCTCTTCCAGCTACTACTCAATCTCTAATCCATTTCTTCTCCCTGGAACATTTTCTTTTTTTCCTCCTCTCACGTATTTCCCCCTTTTGGAGAACCTGATATTTGTAGGATCAATCTTTCAAGACTCCTGTTGTCCTTCATAATTTTCACATTCGTATGTTTCAATGTGTTTGAGATATTACTTCTGCTTCAGCCTCAGGCCTCTAATTCGCTTCTTAACTAGGTCTGTCCCTTTCAGTTTATTTATTGAGTTTGTATAATTGCATTCCATATTTGTTAACTCCTAAAGCCTTTTTTTAAAATGGTAACTTAGTCTCCCTGAGAGCATTTATTAATCTTTGCCATCCTATTTAATTAGGAGTCACCCATTCTAGACGTTTTAACTTGACTTCCACCTGAGATTGTTAGTCTCCTTAGACCTGTTGTCACTTTCTTTTGAGTTCTCATGCTTCTGTTCAATATTGGTGGTCGTATAAAACCATTAGGATTTAAACAGTTGGCAATCACATTCATAATTCAAGCACAGCAACTTTTGATCCTATGAAATTAAGGTGTATTAAGCAAACTGCCAATTCTTGTGAACCGCTCTCCTTCCAGGATCCCCAGCTAAAATTGTGATTATTCTGCCAGTCCACCTGTGTAGCTCATCTACAGTTCTCCCAGGGCCGGGAAAGCCAACACTCCCTCCTGGGTTCAAGCATTTCAAAAGAGGATGCTTTGATTTATGAGAGCCATGAAATTCCAGTCACTTTATAAGTCCTTTCTACCATAGTCCCCGTTCTCTAGTTCAGCTCAGAGGGAGACAAAGTTCAGAGACTACATCTGAGGCTTCCGTGATGTGCACACCGAGTGGGTTCCATCAGCTAGTTGGTTCAGCCTAGTGCTTCAGTCATCAGGCTGGATTGCTCCATCTTGCCAGGGGAGGAGTGTCCGTCTTCCCAGAATCCTGCCCTACACCTCATCTTTGCTTAGTAACACTTATAATTTTCAGGAAGAGTCTTAGAATATACTCCCTCCTGGAAGCTCTTACCAACTTTTCAAGTCTATATCACCCTGGAAGATCACCCTGGTCTTCTCAGATTGCAGAACCTGTCTCATTATGTCCCAATCACCTGTTTACTTGACTCAAGTCCACAGATTTTAAGTTCATGAGAACAGCAGATGTGCTTGTCTCTCCAACAGTTATCACTAATCATTACTAGAGTGCCATACACATAGACAACACTCAGTAAATATCTGTTGAATACTTTGGTTCGGTTTAACTTAATTGATCTGAATGTAACAGTAATTGAGGACCCACCATGTTCAGGTGTTGTACTGGGTGCTAGAAATAGAGGCACCTCGTACCCTTGATGCTATAGCCATTTACCTGATTTGGGAGATGTGGCAAGGGAGGGAAAGGGAATGAACCACAGGATTTCTGAAGTTCTCTTTTGCTTTATAGTCAGTCTGTTTCTCTTTGGCTATGTACTACTATTAAATAGAGAATTTAAGTGAATATAGTCACGGAGACTAATAAAAGAACACTGAGTTTTTGCTACATGAAATTTTTAAGGAAATAATTTTGACACTGGGAAGATTTGGTCTTTTGGGTATTATTTATTTAGCAAGAAATCTGCTAAACTACTATTTTGTCTCTTCTTTTATTGACATATAACCTTTTACCTTCTTTTTTTCTAATAGGAACAACTGCTCTTTATTTATTTCTTCTTATGCACCCTTCCATCATCAGTAATCTTCCCAGCCCAAAAACATTTGAAGAAGTTCAATTCTTTAATGGGAACAACTATCACAAAGGAATTGACTGGTAAGAAAAACAACAAAAATAAAAGCCATTATTAACACATACTAAATCACAGTGGAACAATTATAGATACATGCATGCCTACTGCTAATTACAGAATGAATTTGTTATGCTCAGTCCTATCACAGTAAATTACAAATTAATTTATAATGACAATATGTTTAATCAGTGTTGCCTACAATTTTATTTGGACAGTGCAATAATGATGATACTTTTCTGGTAAATTAATATGATTGAATAAAGCACGTTTATGGGATATTTTTCATCAGCATCATTTTTCAGGATATTATTTTACTGTGCCTAGAATTTTTTTTTAACTAAACACGTAATTCATTTTCACAATGATGCTTGGGGAAACAAAAAGTCAGAAGTTTTTTTTTTTTTTTTTCCTATTTTATTTTATGTGCCATGACATATGTCTTCACTAACCACATAGATATTATAGTATAATATAGACTGATATGTGTCATGCAAATAATAACAGACCATTTGCAAAACCATATCAATTGTAGTCATACACATACATAAGGGAAATATTAAATCAGACTTAACCCTTTGGTGACCCAATTATTTTCTGCTTTGAATTCTTGTTTTACCATGTGTTTTCATTAATGGAAGCATGCTGAATCATTGAGTGTGTCTGAATTTTTGGTAGGTAGTGTGGATTTTTTTTCTTGCCCCCACCCTCAAGCCTACCCTAAGTATTTAGTGGTACATATGAAGTACTGGTAATTATACCCCAGAGTCCCCACCGGGATCTGTTGGTACATATGTGTACTAAGCTAAAATTTTCAAGATTTCTATTTTTCCTACCAAAAATTCAGACACTTTATACAATACCCTGTAAAAACGGTAATTTACGGCACATGCTCATTTCTTTGGTTTCAGTCATAAGGAGCCCTGCCTTGGGGGAGCACGTACTGTCAGTGGTACAGCAGCTTCCCAATAAACCCCAGAGGCTGAAAAAGTTCATGGTCAGTATATATACTGCTAGACATGAAACGATTTGACATATTATGAAAAACAAACAAAAAAAATCACAATATTTTCCCAAACTGAAACAGAATAAACTTGGTGTTGGAACTGATGCTTACTCTGATGCTTTTTCCTAGCTCTATCAAAATTTCTAAGAAAATGTGGTTGATTTCCAACTGTCAGATATATAAGGCAAACCTTACCCTGGGGACATTCCCTTCAATGTACACATGTGTAACGTGTAATTTTATGTGCTGTTATCACGCATAAGCCTGTCCTCAACTTAAACACTGTTCTTTTTAGTTGTGGATACAATTAGGGCGAGGCAGAGCCAATGCCAGTGAGCAGGTTTGGCTTCCCATCATAAGTAGATGGGTTCACTCTGTGCCTAGGATATTCCTATAGTACCTTACTTTTGAAAGGAGCCCTAGTGGCACAGTGGTTAAGTGGTTGGCTACTAACTAAAAGGTTGGTGGTTCGACTCCACCCAGCGGCTCTGTGGGAGAAAGACCTGGTGAACTGCTTCTATAAAGATTTGCCGGTTGCTGTCAAGTCAATTCCAATTCATAGTGACCCTACAGGACAGACTAGAACTGCCCTGCAGGGTTTCCAAGGAGCAGCTGGTGGGTTCGAATTGCCAACCTTTTGGTTAGCAGCCAAATGCTTAACCACTGTGCCACCATCCTCTGGGGCAGTTCTACTCTGTTACATGGGATCATTATGAGTCAGAATCAACTCGATAGCAAACAATAACAACAACCACCTTACTTTTAAAAGGTCCCTACGTGCTGCCAATAATTTGCACTCATACTGAACCCACCCAGTGGTACCATGGAAGAAAAGGCCTGGTGATCTAATTGTGTTAAGATTACAGCCGAGAAAAGCTATGGAGCTGTGTGTTCTACTCTGTAACATATGGGGTCGTCATGAATTGGAATGGACTTGACAGCAACCAACAATCACCAAAACAACCACCTTACTTTTAAAAGATGAAATAAGTTTGGGAATCGCATGCAAGTTACTAAAAGCAGAACAATAATTCTCTCTTATTTGTGAGCTCAAAAACAACACAAATTTTTAAGCAGGAATATAGATGAGACTCTTCACTACTCCACATTTGGGAAACATAATAACAAATGTCAAAGAGGAAAAGAAGTGCCTTATATGAATTCTTAATTGCCCTCATTATTTATTTCTAGAACATTTGAGTGTTGGAGAATTGATGAGCTGTAAGAAGGGTTACACACATTAGTAAAGCCTTGCACTGAATTAACCCCAGAACATATTGATTCCATAATCTACACACAGAGGAAAGTTCAGACAGCATATGGAGGAGTAGACCTACCGAGGCACCACAGGATCATCTGGCAGGAAATATCCCCTTAATTACTCTGGATATAATGTGTTCACATTGCTACACATACTACAAATTATGCAGAAGTTAAAAAGGAGAACAGCGACGCCCTATTCTGTTTAGTATTTTATTGCTATTCTGATACACATATTCCTCTCTGGTGCACTTTAATTTCAACTTAGGAATTTTCATATTCAAGTTTACAAACATAAATTCACTATTTTAAAAATATCTAGCAAGCAAGATGGTGTAATTGTTGTTTGCTATGGATAAACGTTTATTTTATTTTATTTTTTTTATTTGGATTTTGATGGCATAGACTAGCAGCCTAAATCCAAAGAAGTTTCCATCTTTTATCAGCCTACCTATTTCATCTCACTCCTCCTTCTCAAAATGAATCATAGAACAATAATACCTTAGGTTGTTTTCACATACAAAGTGTATAGAATATCCACTATTTAGACTACTACACCATCAATAAGAAAAAATTGATAATCAATGCAATTTATATAAATGTAAAAATGTGCAAATTGTTTTATGCACTGAGTATGGCAGGGAAAGAAAATTCAAATCTAGATTAATTCATTGTCTTTCTCCTCCTTCAGGTATATGGACTTTTTCCCTACTCCATCCAACATTACAAGTGACTTTCTGTTTGAGAAGAGTGCCAATTACTTCCATTCAGAAGAAGCTCCCAAGAGAGCCGCATCTCTTGTCCCCAAGGCTAAGATCATCACCATCCTCATTGACCCCTCAGACCGGGCATACTCTTGGTACCAGGTATGAAACAACGGAAAATATTTTCAAAAGTATTCAGTCACATCTTGAACATGAACAATAAAAAATTACCAAAATAATGTCCAGATGTATTTAAGAGTCAAATGTAAAAACATACAGATATTTATGTAGATAGATAGATAAACAGATGGATAGATGGATAAAGGGATAGATGGATGGATGGATGGATGGATAGATGGATGGATGGATGCTAGAGATAAAGGGATATATGAGCTGAATATTTAACTCATATTAAGTTGGCAAGGAGTTTCAAGCATAGTATGCTGGAAAGAACCATAAATCAAAGAACTAAGAGATTGACTAAACCAGAAAAACATGGGAAAAGTAGATCTGTCACAAATTAGCAAAATTAAAAGTAAATATCTGAGGAAGATATCTTTAACAAATACATAGGAAATGGGTTAGTGCTTTTAATATATAAAGAGTCCCTATAAATTGCTGAAATAAATAAATAACTCTAATGTCTCAGTAGAAAAATAAGCAAAATGAAAAAAAAAACATAGATAGGAAGTTCATTAAAAAATGCAACTGGTCAATAATTTATATGAAAAATGATCAATTTAATTAGAGATCAAAGAAATAAGAATTAAAATACTATTTTTGAATATCATAGCAACCCTATAGGACAGAGTAGAACTGCCCCATAGTGTTTCCAAGGAGCAGCTTCTGAACTGCTGACCTTCTGGTTAGCAGTTGAGCTGTTAACCACAGTGCACCAGGGCTCCAGAGAAATATGAATTAAAATACTCTTTTTGAATATGATTTTGATGAAAGGGTTTGATAAGCGTACTCAAACACTCCAACACAAAATTACATTAGGGCATATTTTTCTGCCAGTAGTTATTAAAAGGCTTGTAAGTGTTCCTTTGTCCTCTAATTCCTCTTCTTGAATTTATGATAGACAAATATTCAAAAGAGTACACAAATATATATGTACATTTTGTTAATATCTACCAAACACGAACAAAAGGAAAAGAAATTAAATGCCCATTACAGATTTGCATAACATTAAAATGGAATATTCTCCAGCTATATATAATTATTGTTTTTAAGACTTTTTAATCAGTAAAATAATAATTTAAATATTTTATTTACTCACATATTTAGAAAGTGTTTAAAGTAAGCAGTCATGTGTCAGGCACTATGCTAGGAACTAGGAATGTAACAGTAAACAAAACATTGTTCCTGCCATCATGGTGCTACATTCTAATGAGAGTAAGGGAGCAGCTATTAATTAGTCATAAAGACATATAATTAGAAATTGTGAACATGTTGAGGAGGAAGTATGCAAGATCCTATGAGAGCATTCTCTAGGGAAATAAGCTTTAGGCTTAAAATGGAAGGATGAGTGAATATTAACAGGGTAAAGGTAAAAGGAGGGTCTAGGAGATAGAATAGTACAAGTAAAGTCTACAGGGAGCAAAGAAAATATTTAAAGAGCTAAAAGAGGAGGTGGGGCCAAGACAGCAGAGTAGTCAGATGCTTCTGGTGGACCCTCTTACAACAATGACTGGAAAAAACAAGCAATTGGATTATATATGGCAATCTGGGAGCCCTGAACATCAAAGGCAGAGTTAAGGAACCGGACTGAGTGGCAAGGGGATGGAGAGACGGTTCAGAAGCAGCGAGGAGCTGCCAGACCTGACCCGGCGAGAGCCTGAGCCCTTCAGGCCTGAGCAGCTCGTGGGTGAGCGGTGAGGCAGGCAAGTGGCAGTGCTCAGGAGGTGCATTGGCCACACCGGGAGAGACCCAGCACCAGAAAGTCTGCACAACCACCCAGCACCAGTGAGAAGCAGCCCTCATCAGCGAAAGATAAGTGTTTGCATACGGCTTACCGCACGGATCAAAAACACACCCATGAGGGAGAAACCTCTCTCCCATTTACCTCCCCGCTTCCTGCTCTGCACTGGGTCCTGGACCAGCTTCAGCAATTGCTAAGTCCCCTGGGCGGGAAGTAGGATCCATCACACACCCGGAGCCATTCTCCCTGCCTTGGAGAGTGAACAAATTAACAAATGGGAAAAAATAAACTGCCGGCTCCCCTAAGCCAGGAACCCAGGGTAGGCACAGCTCCTTTGCCTAGGCACAGGCATAAGGGATCCACGGACTTTGAGTGCCTTTCCCCCTGCGTAATCTTGCATGGGCCCATCTCAACAGGGTAGGCCCTCATTACCACAGTACAACAGGGTGTATACTGGAACTCTGACTTCAACTGTTTCAGCTGTGAAATGGCAGATTCTTGACATTTGACACTGCTCTGCCCATTAAGCAGGGTCTTCACCTACCCCCACATCAGGGGCCTGAGGACTGGTGGCTCCACACATGCCGCCTAGCCACCTGTGATAGGGGCCCATGAATAAGAGGTGCCCCCCAGTCCTTACAGCCAAAAGCACTAGGTGCTCATAGTCCGGCTGCAATACCGACCCACCTACATTCTCTAGGGAACATGGACAAGCCTTTCTCTGGGACGCTCGGGGGCAGCTGTCAGCCCCCTGCCTTGCTCAGAGTGTGTACCCCTGCTCTAGCCTGTCTAGGACTGTAAGTGAGAGCCTGCACCACACACTTGGTGGCTATCTACCTGGGCACCTGAGATGAATCCACACAGGAGGAGTGGGTAGACTCCTCAGCTCACATACCTAGTAACAGATCTAACCACTTGGTGACAGGACATTAGAGCTTCAAAGGTGCCAATAATCAAACTAGCTCATATTATCAGCCTATTTGGGCATATCAAAACAAAACAAGAAGCTAGGACACAGTAAGCAAACATAAAATAAATAAATATAATAACTCTTATTGATGGCTCGGAGACAACTGTCAGTATCAGATCACATAAAGAGGCAATCCATGATGGCTTCAGCAAGCTCCCAAAATAAAGAATCTAGAAATTTTCCAGAGGAGGAAAATTTCTTGGAATTACCAGAGGTAAAATACAAAAGGTTAATATACGGAACTCTTCAAGAAATTAGGAAGGGAATTAAGCAAAACACAGAACACAAAATAGAGGAAATTAAAAAGAACTAGATGGTACCCGGCTACCACCAATGACTGCCCTGACGGGGAACACAACAGAGAGTCTTGGATGGAGCAGGAGAAAGGTGGGATGCAGAACTCAAGTTCTAGTAAGAAGACCAGACTTAATGGTCTGACTGAGACTGGAGGAACCCTGGAAGGCACAGCCCCTGGATTCTCTATCAGCCTGGAACGAAAACAATTTCCAAGGCCAACTCTTCAGACAGGGATTGGACTGGACTGTGGGACATAGAGTGATACTCGTGAGCAGTGTGCCTGTTAGCTCAAGTAGATACAGAGACTAAAGGCGCAGCTTCTGTCCGGAGGTGAGATGGGAAGGCAGAGAGGGTTAAGAGGTGGCTGAATGGGCATGGGGAATCAAGGGTGGAAAGGAGGAGTGTGCTGTCACAGTATGTGGAGAGCAATTAGAGTCACATAACAATGTATGTATAAATTTTTGTATGAGAGAAAAAAAAAGAGCTAAAAGAAGTTCCATATGTCTAGAAGTCAAAACATTAGGTGGAGACTTGTGGAGATGAGGCTGAAAGGCACACTGGGGCTAGAAGTGGCAAACCACATGGCCTTTATTCTTTGGCAGTTGGAAAGCCTTTGAAAAATTTTAAACCGGAGTGTGACTACCAGATTTCCTTTTAGAAAGCATTATGGTATCTATGATACCTTTGAGTCAGGATTGCCTCGACGGGAATGAGTTTTTTCTGTTTTGTTTTTTTATGGTAGATCAGTAACTGCCATCCAGTCAGCTCAGACTCATACAACCCTACATACAACAATAAAACGTTGGCTGGTTCTTCATCATCCTCACTATCGCTGGCATGTTCTAGTCTACCATTGAAGTTGTGCCAATCCACTTCACCAAGGGTCTCTGTTGCCCTCTCTGGCTCTCTACTTCATCGAACATGATGATCTCCTCCAGCAATTGATCCCTTCTGATGACATGTCCAAAGCAAGGAAGTTGGACAATGTACTGCTGTGATGCATAACATTTTCATTAGTTAAATTTTGGAAGTAAATCGCCAGGCCTTTCCTTCTAGTCTGCCTTAGCCTGGAAGCTCCACTGAAACCTGTCCACCATAGGTGACCCTAATAGTATTTGAAATACAGGTGGCATAGCTTCCCACATTATAACAACAAACTAGCCACCACAGTGCGACAAACTGACAGATGGCTAGTGGAGAAAATGTATTATCTGCTGTATGAAGAATTAATTGGAATGGATCAAATGAGTATTCAGAGACTACTGCAACAGCCTTGCTGAAAAATGAATGTAGCCTACACTAAGACAGTAAGTAGAAACTGAATGAAGCAGAAAGTGTTAAGAGAGAATTAGGAGAAAGCGGTGTCAAAGATGGGTTAAATTTCTGATCTGTTCAATTGGATGGTGACAATACACTGCCATGCAAAATGAAACACTGGAGCAGGATACAGGAGGTGTTGGGAGATGGGGAACTTAAAGATGTGATGCAGATGGTAAGTATGAGAAATGGAACCAATGACATTCCTAAGTAAAGTTAGCTTCAGTCTGGGGAGAGGTCTGAGCTGGAGACGAAAATTTGTGAATCAAAGGCATAAAGACATGGCCATGAGGAAAGTGATGTTGCCTAGGCAAAGGGCATAGAGAAGAAAAGTACAGAGCAGGATGAGGCAGCAAGAGAGACAAGAAAGAACAAACCAGGTGGCAGAAGATAAAAAATCAAGGATTGCAGGGACGTGGATACAAGACAACAGAATTCTGCCAAACTGAGGTGGGGAGATTGAGTGTGGCAACGGTGTCAAACACAGCTGAGAATATAAACAACTAGGCAAAATAAGGTCTGGATTATTTTCATCGAATTGAAGGTATAGAGGGAAGTAGAGTCCTTAGCAACAAAATAAAAGAAAAAAGCCAGATAAGATTGGTTGGCGAATATGTAAGTCGTCATGAAGAAATGGAGGCAGCACTTTTAACAGACTCTTTCAAGAAGTGTGATTGTGCAGGGGGAAGTAAAGACGCATGTTAATTTCATAGACATGGAAATGCAGTCAAAGAACTTCTTCTGTTATGATGGTTGTTTGAATAACGATGGGAAGCCTCCAACAGAGAGAGAGTTTAAAGGCCCAGGAGAGAAAATGCGTTTTTAGTCCTGTAGTGAGGATTCTGAAATGCCAGGAAGGGTTGTGTACCAGAAAACAGTTCAGATGGAGAAGGAAACATTCCTTCTACTTCCCGAGTTCTTAACTTCTTATGGACTGAGACCCTTCTGGCAGCCTGGTGAACACTAAGGGCTCCATCTCAGAAATATGTTTTAAAAGCATAAAACTAAGTACAAAGAATTACAAAGGAAACAACTTTATTAAAATATAATTATAGAGATACTTTTGAAATCAGTAATTTTTTATTAAATCATTAAGTGATAAGATTTCATAGTGGCTCTAATACTGGTGTAATTCTGAAGTAGTGATGACTATAACTATATTTTGAGATATCTAAACCACTTCGATGTGATAAAAATAACTTATTTTTATTGGTGATAGAGTCACAGGTACAGAAATATTTCTGTGGCTGTTATTGACATTCACAATTAAAAGAAATGCCAAGCACATTTAGTAGTTAGTAAAAATAGATAATTGTTGCCAATGCAATTCACGGAATAGCTAAATTTTACCGTGAGAACTTGTTAAAAACCTCTGCATTGAGACTTGAGGTATAGAGGAAAGGATGTTGGTGCATAGTGGCAAATTTGTAAGTCTGGGATAGAGAAATTCAAGGACTGTGATGGTCTCTTCTTCCTTTGAGAAGTTGAGAATGAGTTAGTCTAATGAGGAAGGGGTTAGTTTTGGGAGGGGACAGTTTGAGGAGAAAGAAAAAGGTATGAAATCATTGTACGGGGGTGAAATAAAGTTGACCATAAAAATGGAAGATTACCTAAAGAAATGAGGGCCTAACTGAAGTTGGTGATCTTGAATTTATAGTGGTAACAATACACATTGCTGTTGCTGTGTGCCACTGAGTTGATTCCAACTCATAGTGATCCTATAGGACCTGGTAGAACTGCCACATAGGGTTTCCTAGTTTCCTAGGCTATAATCTTTATGGGAGCAGATCACCAAGCCTTTTCTCCCCCAGAGCCACTGGTGGATTCGCAGCCGAGCGCTTTAACAATTTAGCCACCAGTGCTGCCCTGTAACAAGTGTGTGTGTGTGTATACATACTAACACCCTAATTATTTGAGTTCGTTTGCATATGTGTTTGTTTAATGTGCGTAGAAATTAATATAAAATTTTTTAAAAAGACTTAAAAGGAATTTTTATATTTTCTTGATTCTTCCTCTTGGCTTTTCAAAATGTCTTCAATAAACATAAACTTCTGAAAACAAATACTGATGTACAGAAAAAATATGACACTGAAAGTTGGGATTGCAAGTGTTTGGGATCCGAACAGAACACTTATGTTGGAAGCAAGAGGAAGAAATTCCCAATAGGACCCATGAGTCGGTGTCTCCCACGAGATACAGTAATGCATCTTTCTCACTTTATGAACATTCATATTGCACAAGATAAACTTGTTTTTTAAAATTGTGCCAGAAACATTGAAATGATACGCTATAATCAAAAGTTTTGAATTGAAATCCTTAGAAAAAAATATTGAACATTTTTTCTAACAGGAAGCATGGTCACTAGCTATAGCAGATCTATATGAATTTTTTTCACATAGGTTAAACCATTTAAATAAAAGAAAATCTGCATGAGGAGTGTGCTTCTCTGTGCCTCTTTCTTCAAATAAATACTTTGAACGTGTAAGTTTGAAAAGAATTAGTTTTTCTAATAAGACTTTTTATTGCCATATCGCTGTGAGTATGGCCCCTAAACTGCTCCACATTTCACAATAATGCAGCCTATTACTTCGCTAGTCCTGTCTATTCAGTAAATACCATAAATCCAAAGCTCAGCAGGTGTAATTCAGAGACTCCTACAAATGTCACCTGCCACTGTAATTTCTACCCCACCTTTTTATAATGGGTCTCACAGAGGAGCTATAGTGCTATTTTTTCCATAAAATATGTCCCTTTGTGACTTCCTGGTTGTATCTTTACACTAATCTTCTTAGTTTCAAGAATATAAAGAAAAGATGGTGGTAAACTGGTGTAAATCAATATAAAACCCATTGCCATTGAGTCGATTTCTGACTCATAGGGACGCTATAGGACAGAGTAGAACTTCCCCATAGGGTTTCCAAGGAGCAGCTGGTGGATTTGAACTGCTGACCTTTTGGTTAGCAACCAAACGCTAACTCCTGCACTACCAGGGCCCCATAAATCAATATAGAGCAGATTAAATACAGTTCCATATTATCACTGCTTAAAGTAGAAATTTTAGCATTACTGTATTAACATGGACTTACTATATTTATAATGTTATTCAAATTATGTAATTTATACCCATTATGTTAATTATACATATTATGTAATCTCTGTGTACTCAGCATAATTTATGTACATATAAGAATGCCTAATAGATGTACAATAATGAAAGGGCTTCAAAATGTTTATTAGTCCACTACTCACTAAACCAGACCAAACCAGTTTCTGTCAAGTCGATTACAATTCATAGCAACCCTGTAAGTACGGAGCAGAACTTCCCCATAGGGTTTCCAAGGAGCAGCTGGTGGATTCAAACTGCTGATCTTTTGGTTGGCAGCCTTATCTCTTAACCACTACACTACCAGGGCTGCACTCTATAATCACTCACCACTTCCTAAACATCTTTATTTCTCTAGTCCTTTCTTTTCCCCCTAGTCTATTTTATCTTGTAAGCTACTATCTGCCATTTCAAGGAGCCCTGGTGCAGTGGTTAAGTGCTAGGCTGGTAACTGAAAGACTGATGGTTCGAACCCACCAGCTGCTCCATAGGAGCAAGATGTGACAGTCTGCTTCCATAAAGATTACAGCCTTGGAAACCCTATGGGGCAGTTCTACTCTGTCCTATAGGGTTGCTGTAAGTCGAAATCAACTTCATGGCAACAGGTTTGGTTTTTTATATCTGCTATTACACAATTGTATCAGGCCTTAATATACAATATTTCTATCTTTATTTATTCTAGATTTTCTTCCTGTTTCCTTTTAGATATCTCACTAGACCAATTCATTCCTTTCCACAGAAGTCATCCATCTCTACTCAAACTTACCTTAGATGTAAATATTCTCTTGGTTTTCAAGTTTATTTTTTCTGCGTATCAACATCTTTCTCATCACTTTTTAGCTGAAAACCTTCAGCCATTGAAAAGTTTTCTTCATCTTTCAATCATAATCAATCACTTATCGGTCTGTCTATCACAGCAAGTAACTAATACCTCTAATCAAATACACTGTTGTTAGTTGCCATTGAGTCGATTCTAACTCATGACAACTCTATGTGTGCAGAGTAGAACTGCTCCATAGCGTTTTCAAGGCTGTGACCTTTGGGAATCAGATCACCAGGACTATCTTCTCAGGTACCCCTGGATGTATTTGAACTGCCAACCTTTTGTCGAGTAGTTGAGCACTTAACCATTTGTGCCGCTGAGGGACTTCTATCAAATATACAATTTTATTACAGTTTATTAGTCTACTGTCTCCCTCACTAGATTTTTATTTCTTTTAAGATAGTGATGTCTTGCTAACATCTTTTTATGTACAGAATCTATTGCAGTTCTTTGTTCTGGAAAGGAGCTTAAGAAATCCTTCTAAAATTGTATTGACTGTTAAATTCATCTCTCACTGAGTTGGGCTTTCTCATACTTGACCAATGGATGGCTCAGTGTGAAGGGCTCAGAGGATTTGGCACTGAAATGTAGTAGTATTTGGGAATTAGCAGGATTAGGTGGAAACCCTCAGGAGAGCAACTGTAAAGGATGTTGGACAGTGTCAATATGAAGATGACACCTAAGCATTAGGAATAAATATCTGCTTTCTCTGCACCCATATCATCTGCTACACAGATAATGGGGAAGTGGCCATAATGAAACAATAAGCAGAGTAATATGTGAGCTTCTCTTGCACATCTAAATTTCTTTTCATCAGGCTTGATTTGTCTGGTTCCTTACATTTTTTCACTTCTAATCAGACTCCTGAAGGAAATACTTGTGCTCGGTTTGTACCTAAGCATTTTCACATGAAGACAACCACAAACTTGTCTGCATATTGTTGGGGCCTTTTGCTTCAAATACTTTAAAATAAGTCATGTGCCGATGCGCAGGCTTCAATGCATGCACTTTTCATGATATTTTTCATTCTAAAATCAAGTAATTTTATCATTTTTGAGAAATGAAAGGGACACACACATATAAATAAACAGCAAACACACACACTTACCTACAAAAATTGTAAAGAAAACTAACTTTACAATTGACTTTTTTTTTTTTAAAGCATCAACGATCACATGAAGATCCAGCTGCCCTGAGGTTTAATTTCTATGAAGTTATTACAACAGGACATTGGGCCCCACCTGACTTAAAAACTTTGCAGAGGAGATGTCTGGTACCTGGATGGTATGCAGTACACATAGAAAGATGGCTAACTTATTTTGCTACTTCTCAGGTAATACCCTGAAATTAATTTCTCCTGCTATTAGATCATGATTATGTTGTATTAACAAACAAAAAGTATGAATTAGCAGACAGTGATTTATACTTACAGAAAATTATAAGTGAGGAAGAAATGTGGATTTTTACACTTTAATCTCCATAATGCTATTAAAATGCTGTTAAATAGTTCTGAAAACATATTCTTGGGATTTTTTTTGAACAGTAGATAGCCCCAAAGTGATGAATCCTCACAGAGGAAACATCATGTGATTCACGGACAAACACCTTCAACTAGTAAAAGAGCAGCCAGTTAGTCAGTACCTTTTTGGAACACACGTGCAGATAACCTGTGTGCTGTCTGTCCTGTGAGACCCATGTAAGAAGGTCATGCAGTAGACTGTCAATATGGGAAGTGCTGTAACAGCTCTAGGGCCAGGGGATAGAAAAAACTATAGGGTTTTGAGGAAAACATTTACACTCTTTCTATTCTGCATTATAACCCAGGGAACAATTAGAACCTGAGGGCTCTGTCAAGGTTTGTAAGAAGAACAGATGCATGATTTTCATCCTGATGCCCATAGTTTCTAAGCCTTTGGTTCTAAGATTTAGCTCCTGGAATTTTGATAGACTGTATAACTAATTGATTACACAACAAAAGGAAAATCATGTTTCTATAGAAATACTAAATCAAGAGAATTTCTATGCTTATTTCTGGTTTATAATAAAGTTAAAGGATGTAATTTGATAACGAACAAGAAGTGATGCCTATGGCCAGTTTGAACCACTGTTTATTTACCACAAATATAGTATACAATTAAAATGCATTCTAGGGAGTTCACATCTTCTTATTCACTGACCCAATTTATTAATGTCATACCAGGTCAAGAGAGGCAACTCAGCCTATTCAATTTAGTTTTATTCTTCATAAAGTGGCTATTTTTTGACTTTGCAGTTGTTAATTATCGATGGACAGCAGTTGAGATCTGACCCAGCTACTGTGATGGATGAAGTCCAGAAGTTTCTGGGAGTCACACCTCTTTATAATTACTCTGAAGCACTAACGTGAGTCTATTCTCATGCAAGATTTCATTTCCATTATTTGCCATCATAAATTATCACTGGTAGGTGTGTATATAGTATCATTAATACTATCCATGAATTTATACATCATTATGCTTCTCAAAAGCAGTCAAAGGAATATCCTTGTTATTCATGTAGTATCTCCCTTTTGAATACCAGGAATAATTTCTCTCATAAAATATTATCCTACAGGCATTTAATATTATCGCAAATTCCTCTTTTTCTGTGGGCTTTTGCCTATTATCAGGTTGGTTAAGTAAACTTTTTTACATGCCTACTTATTGCAGAAAGTGTCCAAGGAATTGAGGTTATGAAGGTGAAAAAGACTTAATCTGTTCCCCTGAGTAACTTATAGGTTCGAACTGAAATGCTGAGGACTGTTGTTACTCCTGTGGAAGTGAGCAGTCTTTTGGGTAGAATTGGGGAATGGGCATATTCATATATGCATTTATTAAACTACTCATAAATAATATAATCGTTGTTGTGGTGCCATCGAGTCAATTCCGACTCATGGTGACCCCATGTGTGCAGAGTAGAATTGTGTCCCATAGGGTTTTCAAGGATGTGACCTTTCAAAAGCAGATCACCAGGCACGTCTTCCAAGGTGCCACTGGGTGGGTTCAAATCACCAATCTTTCAGCTAGTAGTTGAGCGCTTAACCATTTGCATTCACCCAGGGACTCCAAATATAATAATATATAATGCATATAATCATGTATAATGTTCCAGTTATCTATTGTTGCACAGATAACAAACTTCAAACTGACTGGCATATAACAACAGCCATTTTATTAAGTTCATGGATTCGATGGGTTGGGAATTTGGACAGGGCACTGTGGGGACAGCTTATCTCTACTCCATATCTGGGGCCATAGGTGGGAAAACTTGAATATCTGGGAACTCAAATGGCCAGGGACAACAGTTAGCTGGAAGTTTCTCCACTCACATCTCTGACTCCTAGGCTGGGATGACTCGAAGGCTGAGCTCAGTGGGACAAGGCCTCTCCGTGCGTGCCCCCCCACCCCAAGGTTTGGGTTTCTCACTACCCAGTTGCTGGGTTCTGAGGGGGATTAGCCTGAGCATAAATGTCTAGGGAGTATGTGCTCCAAGAGCCATGACTTTCTCTGACCTAACCTTGCAAATCACTCGGCATCATTTATGTGACATTCTATTAGTTACAAGAAAGTCACTAAAACCAATCCAAATTCAAAGGCAGGGAAATTAGATTCCACTTTCTGATAAGGAGTAGCAAATTCATTCTGCAGAAGAACTTCATGGATTGAACTGTGTCCCCCCAAAAATGTATCAGTTTGGCTGGGACATGATTCCCAGTATTGTGTGGTTGTCCTCCATTTTGTGATTGTACTTTTATGTTATAGAGGATTAGGGTGGGATTGTAACACCCTTACTAAGGTCACATCTCTGATCCAATGTAAAGGGAGTTTCCCTGGGGTGTGGGCTGCACCACCTTTTATCTTACAAGAGACAAAAGGAAAGGGAAGCAGGCAGAGAGTTAGGACCTCATACCACCAAGAAGGCAGTGCTGGGAGCAGAGCATGTCCTTTGGACCTGAGGTTCCTGTGCTGAGAAGCTCCCAGACCAAGGGAAGACTGATGACAAAGACCTTCCTCCAGAGCTGACAGAGGAGAAAACCTTCCCCTGTAGCTGGCACCCTGAATTCGACTTGTAGCCTACTAGACTGTGAGAAAATAAATTTCTCTTTGTTAAAGCCATCCACTTGTGGTATTTCTGTTATAGCAGCACTAGAAGACTGAGATAGTCACTAAAACCAATCCAAAGACAGGGAAATTAGTTTCCACCTTTTGATAAGGAGTAGCAAATTCATTCTGCAGAGGAGAATGAGGGATGGGAGATACTGTTGCAGTCTCTTAGAAAAATAAAACCTGCCCTGTATAACTTGGGTAATTAAAAATGAAAAAAATATATATATAAAGATGAAGCAAAATAACAACAATAATAACAAAAAAAAAAAAAAAAAACCCCTTCCAAGTAGTCAAAATATATTTTAAAATGGCAAGCGCTTTTCCCCCACAAGGTCTGATAGAAAGCATATTAAATTTCAGACAAAATTCTAACAAACCTCATTATATAATTTCCCAGTTCACAGAAGATTAGGATCAACAATTAGACAATTAAAGAGGGTAATGAAGGGACAGGAAGCACAGTAATAAGATTGGGTTGTTCCTTATCCACTAAAGCAACCCTAATGAAGATTTTAGCTACACATGGAAATAATATAACAAGGCAAGGCATGCCCTTGTTGATTAAGTAGACAGATCTTTCCATAATATGTTTTGCATTAATAGTTATTGATGTTGGCATATCTTCCTCTTCCTTTCTGCAGTAGTTTAGGTAATGGTTCTGTCATGTTTACTACAAATAGTGCCTTACGGTTCAATAAACCTTTAAAGTCACACTTTCGAAGACAATTACAAACAAGTACGAAATATATGGTTTTTAATATGTCTCACACATCACAAAAATTAATAACTATAGTGATGTTCAGAGTAATAAAAGAACTCAAATGGCAACCAACTTATATCCTAAAAGATGTCTAACAGTTGTTTGAAAAAGACTTTGCATCTTAATCTCACAATTTCATGCCTACTAAAATAAAACCATAAAAGAATGAATTGATGTGACTTAGAGAGGATAAATGTCCTTTGTAGGCTTAAGGTATATAAAGTTGCTGATGCAGTAAATAAAGCTGGGACAGCAAAATAATGTGGATTCAAGGTTATGACAAACCTATCTAAATAAATGGCTTTCAGTATTCTGGATGGCTCTCCTTCCGCAGGTTGTATTAAACTCTGCCTCATACCAACTGTTGTGGGGAGCAAGGAGAGATGGCAGCCCAACCTGAGATCTCTGCACTAGCTGAGCGCAAAGAAGATACTCTCAGTGTGTGTATAAATATGTTGGCTTTGTAGTCAGAGCTGTATTTTAACTTAATGCAGTTAAATATTCTCATCCTGAGGCAGAAAATGCTGTTTAGGGGCACCGTTATGCTGACTTCCCTTCTCATTTTGCACAGCACATGGAATTGTTTTTCCTCTTGGGAAATTAATGAAAACTAGAGAAAGGACTGTGATAGGCAAGAAGCAGACTGAAAAGTCCAAGTTGGAAATGACTCTGTCTTCCTTCTGTCCATTTAACCAGTGATGTATTTAATTTTAATTGATAACATGTACTAGGACAACCTGGACTGCAAGGATCAGGTCTCTAATAATAGGCTGGGCAGGGAACGGTGAAGAAAATTTCCCTCTCCTCCTAAATGAATTCACATATGTGCAGAGGCAAATTGCAGGTGCACTGGTATTATAGGAATGGGCCCAGGGCAACAAAATATTCTGCAACTAATTAACTTTACATCTCAGTCAATTATGCTTCATCCTTCTAAAACATCTGCTGAGCAACAAAACCGCAAACCTTTTCAATGTTTTATGCATGCAGCAAGTCCCATAGCAATAAATTTAAAATTTCCTGTCTTATTTGGTTCATTCTTTCATTTCTTCTGTCTTGTTAAATCTTAAACAAAAACCCTTAAATATGAGTCCAAACAAAATAATTAGGCCATACATCCTTTCTTTTGTAACAATACAGCTACTGGAACAATATAGCATTAGGGTTTTCTCTAAGAGTATAAAACCAAAAACCAAACACACTGCCATCCAGTGTAGGACACAGTAGAACTGCCCCACAGGGTTTCCAAGGAGTGCCTGGTGGATTCAAACTGCTGACCTTTCGGTTAATAGCCATAGCACTTAAGCACTGTGCCAGGATCGTCTACCTTCAACAAAGGAAGTAAAGAGTTATCTAATCTCCCATATACCATGGAGAATCTGTGTTTCATGTTGTTGAAAAAAAACATAATAAGCTATGTTTTTACGTTTTTAATTGTCTTCTTGAAAAGTGTAAAAATTTGGAACTGCAAAAAGTACAGAATTTTTATAAATTTTAAACCCACTGCTGTTGAGTTGATCCTCACTCATGGCAACCTCATGTATTACAGAATTGAACTGCTCCATAGAATTTTCTCGGCAGTATCCTTTATGGAAAAGGAGCCCTGGTAGCACAATGGTTAAGCACTCAGCCTCTAACTGAAAGATTAGTGGTTTGAATCCACCAGCCACTCCATGGGAGAAAAGATCTGGTGATCTGCTCCTGTAAAGATTTCAGCCTAGGAAACCCTATGGGGCAATTCTACCGTGTCCTGCAGGTTTGCTATGAGTTAGAATCCACTGAACAGCATACAGCAACAATAATAATCTTTATAGAAGCAGATCACCAGACATTTCTTCCATGGTGCCACTAGGTAGGTTCGAACTGCCAACCTTTAGGTTAGTAGAAGAGCATTCATGCCACCCAGAGACCTTCAAATTTATGGAGATTTGATTCATATTTATATTCAGAGAGAAGTATACTTAAACTATTTCTAGCCAAATTGATATACATTAATTGAATGATTTTAAAGAATTCTGTTAATATATTTTTGGGTAGAAATCACATTAATAAGTAAACAAAATATTCTGATTGTCCTTTATATATACACTGTAATTCTGATGATTGGTACTTGATCTTTTATGGATGCATAGGTAAAATATGGAACTTAATAATTCCAAAGTAAAATTGGATTAAAACTCTACATGTCTTTTTAATTACAGTAGAATTATTCAAATATATATAACAGCATATGTTGTCAGATGCCACTGAGTCGTGTCCAATGCATAGCGACCCTGTGTACAACAGAATGAAACACTGCCTGGACCTGCACCAGCTTCATAATTGTTGTTATGCTTGAACCTATTGTCGTAGCCGTTGTGTCAATCCATTTCGTTGAGGGTCTTCCTCCTTTTCACTGACCCTTTATTTTACCAAGCATGATGTCCTTCTCCAGGGACTGAGCCCCTCCTGATAACATGTCTAAAGTATGTGAGGGAAAGTCTCGCCATCCTTGCTTCGAAGGAGCTTTCTGGCTGTACCTCTTCCAAGACAGATTTACTCATTCTTCTGGCAGTCCATGGTATATTCAATATTCTTCACCAACACTGTAATTCAAAGGTGTCAATTCTTCTTTGGTCTTCCTTATTCATAATAACATATAGCTTCTTTATTCTAAAATCAGCCCAATAAATATTTGTAAAATTTAATTAAATTAATTTAAAGCAATGGGCCTACAAAGAGAATTTCATTTATCCAGTTGAAGAGGCTGTCTCACTCAAACATCAGTATACGAGTTATAGTCATTATATGTTTGATTTATTGTAGGTTTGATCCCCAAAAGGGCTTTTGGTGTCAACTGTTGGAAGGAGGAAAGACCAAATGCCTTGGAAAAAGCAAAGGCCGAAAATATCCTCCCATGGATCCAGAGGTAATATTTTTCACAGTCTTTGAATTACTCTGGTAAAATTCTATATATACAGCTATTTCAAAACTAGTGACAAAGTTACTTTCTTTTGTCTGCCCTTCCTTTACTATCAATAGTCTTATATATTTAGAAGATAGCTAGCTAGCTAGATTAGATAGATAGACATTGATAGATGATTGATAGATATCCCTAGATATTGTTTGCTACCAGAATGTAATTCAAACATAAATATTGCATAGTTTAATAGTAACAATATATAAAGAACTCAAACTATTCATGAAACAACTGATTTGGAGTAAAATACACAAGTGCTATTTTTATGTATCCAGTATGTTGTATCCAGTGCTTACACCATACACGGTACTTTGCTCAGCAATGGCGAGGATTAAACGATAAAACAGTCACAAACCCTGATTTATTATAGGATGAATAAATTAGTAGTGAACACTGATTTATAATAGGATCCATAAAACAATAAAAAAACCAAAAAGGCAGAAAAAAATCTTTTAATAGAAGTGAGGGTATGAGGAGAAACACAATGTAGAAACATGATAGCTTAGGGTTGGGAAAGGAGCCCTGGTGGCACAACGGTAAAGAGCTCGGCTGCTAACCAAAAGGTTGGTGGTTTGAACCCACCAGCCACTCCCCAGGAGAAAAGGTATGTCGATCTGCCCCCATAAAGATGACTACCCAGGAAATCCTACGGGACAGTTCTGCACTTTGCACTGGGTCTTTACGAGTCGGAATTGACTTGATGGCACACAACAATAACAACAACAGGACTGGAAAACCGGTTAGCAATTAGCTTGGCCAAATATAATGAGTATCTCTCCTAAGTTAAGGTGGGCAGAGTGAGAGTGGAAGTAATTCAGGTGTTACTATGGAAATAGAAGTACCAGGAGGTCCTTAAACTACACCTTTGAACTCAGTAATTTCAAAAGGGTTTCAGAAATCACTTTAATCTGCCAAGAAATCAATGTCATGTTCCCACTACTTCAATAAACATCTTACCCAGAATTTGAAGTGTTTACAATATGGCTTAAGAGAAGAAATGCAATGAAATAACTGGTGAATGGTACAAGACAAAATATAGTTGTGTTAAATCCATTTCCATGGTATACACAAAAGTTGCTAAGGGAGTTTCATGAAGAAAGAGATCCATTTGTATTAAAATATTGAATAGGGCTTAAGAGAGATGGTGGAAAATTGACCGGGTAGAGAAGGATGTATGGGCCACTGCTACGTATACCTACACAGGGAATGTGTTCATTTCTTCTCTTAAGACGCAAAACTATTTTAATTGGGTTATAATATGAAGCAAGTGGCATCCAAAAAGGAAAACGAATTCTGAATGTTCTGTTTTCCAGAAACCTAAGTAAATAAAAGATGAACATAAAATTAAAGCCGTTTATATATTTAATAATCTTCTTTTTTAATCATTCATACAGTAAGGGCCAATCAGTCTAGCTTGACTAAGAATATAAGAATCACAAAGAAAATCGAGCTTCAGGGACCTTGTAATATTTTAGAAGTAGAGTGCTCTTGATTATTAAAAAAAATAATGATCTATTTTGACCTGAACCAATACAGAAGTGTTTTGTGTAATGTTAAAAGTTATTTTTAATCATGAATTTCAACTGTTATGATTATTTGTGTTTACTTTTTATTTTTATACTATGGGCCAATTTTACAGAACACGATCAATTTAAAAAGAAATATGTTTTTATCTTGCTCACTTCTGTAGATTTAGTTAACATCAGGCCTCTCCCTCATTCTTCTCCAATAATATACTTCCATCAAATTTTCTTACTGTGTAGACTTCATCAATCCTCCAATAAATATGTGCCATAATGGTAGATAAATCACATAGGATATACTTGGGCCTATTTTTATTTTGGTGTCCCTGGGTTGCGCAAAGGTTAATGCACTCTGCTGCTAACCAAACAGTTGGTGGTTGGAGTTTACCCAGGGCGCCTATGCAGAAAGGCTTGGTGATCTAAGTCCAAAAACATCAGGCATTGAAAACCCTGTGGAGCACAGTTCTACTCTGACACACATGAGGTCACCATGAGTTAGAATTGATGGCAACTTTTTTCCCCCTAATTTTTATTTCACAGCTACACTTTTGCCTAATCTCTTCAAAAGATAAAAATCAATGATACCCGAGGAAAAATACCAATAAATAAATATTTTATAGACAGCTGCATTGTAATAATCAAAATTCCTTGTGAAATGTAGATTGTACAATCTAGTTTGATGAACTAATGACTTCTTTCAAGTCTTCTTTTCCTTTTTTGCTTTTCAGTCTCGAACATTCCTCTCTAATTATTACCGAGATCATAATGTGGAACTGTCCAAACTGCTGCATAGACTGGGGCAGCCTCTGCCGTCATGGCTGAGACAGGAGCTGCAGAAAGTGAGATAGCACTGGAGACAAGACCAAGGCTCAAGATACTTCCTTTTGCTATTAAACAGAAACAGAAACAACCCCACAACTTTTATTCCCTAATGCACTTGTGATTGTCTGCAGAAGACTGTGTGAATAAATTTCCTTCTATCTTTTTCATAAAATGAAAACTGTTATATATGCACGCATTGGCAATTACTGTCAATCCCTGTGTGACCTTTTGGAAAATAATGTGGGGTTTTGTAGCATTATGCAGTTTCTAGTGTGGAGATCATAACACAGCCTAGTTCCTCTGTTAACCAGAAGGTTTCAGAAACTCAATGACTGATAAGCTTCATTATATGCAAGTGATAGATTACAATCTTGAGGATAAAGATAGAGTTTGAGGTAACTGTAAATGGGTTAGTGGTAACCAATGTCTGAATTAAGGGCTAACATTTTTTCCCTTGCTAATTTCAAAACAATTTTGCTTTTGTTATGAAAATAAAGATTACCCCATGCTCTTATTTTTTGAACATTCATTATTGATTCAAAATATAACCCATATATATTTTCTTCTGTTGTTACTCCTCTTTATGAATCATTGACTTGTTAGAAAAATCATGACGTTATTAGCCTCCCATGTTTTTTGTCTGTTTTCCTCTTGTAGGAGGAGACTATTTGAAAGGTTCCATCTTCATTGATACTGCTATTTTATCTGACAAGAAATACCATTCTCAGTGAATTTTACATTATACTTCCAAGGAATGTGTCACAGAGTTTTGAGATCAAGGGACAACAATGCATGCTTTGCATAATATCACCAGTATGTGCAAGGCCATCTTTAAAAGGATCCAAAATATTAAGATACTATTAATCAACATATTTCCACCTTGCTAATGATGTAGTAGTTATATATTTTTTCACTGTCCAAGGTAGAAGAAACACCTTTATTGATAAGATACTGAATGAAAACACCAAGATCTGTTTACAGTTATAGTGAGGCACTTATGCCTTCTATGTAGTATATGTCAATCATTTTAAAGCATGGATTTTTCGTATATACCAGCGCATATACTATTGTAGAGGGTTGTGTTTTTAATGCCTGTTAAAAAAAAAAAAAAGAAATATAAGCTAAATCTTATCTCTTCAAACATCACTATTCTCTAACCTAAACCCTATTTCTCAGTCGTGCTGTCCAAAAAGTAAATTCTACAGAAGTGATGGCCTTTCTATCTTAGAGTTATAGGTTCCTCTCTTATTTTAGGGTTAATGTCATATTTGTTAGATTTTTATCCTACTTGTCAATGAAGATTTATTAAGCCTTTGTCAATCTTTTAGTAATGAATGAAGATAAAATTTCAACAGTAAATCAAACTGGCTTTGGTAACATTACCCATCATTCCACCCTTCCTCCAAAGTGATTCTTCTGTAGGCTGTAAAGTATATTACTTTTTCCTTTAATTTGAGAAATTATCCTTGATCTAATTCAATAGAAAACCAAAACTCTTTGTTTTTGGTTGTTTTTTTAAAAGAGACTCATAATTTTTACATATTTTACTTCAGAATTCTGCTTTGCATTTATACTTAATAGTTTTGTTTTCCCACTGCATCTAGAAGCTCCTGATTTTCTTTAAGAAAATCCAATTTTTTTTATGGACATGATTTAATATTAAATTACAAACTATTACTTTTATTGTCCCTCTGTTAATGTGAGACTTAAATTCTCAGCCTTATTCTGTTATAGGTGAGTGTGTGCTTCGCAGCATTCCATTAAGCACATAAAAATCACAATAATAATGTATTTAAAGCTATAGGATTTGATTGATTTTTTTCCTTAATTTTCCTCCAGTTTATATTCTAATTCTGTCTTTCTTGAAATAAAGATTGAATTTTTTTCCAAGTGGGACAAAAGGGATATTTATGCAAGGGAAAGGAGATATTTTTCATATCAAGTAAAAGTAAAATTTATTTGACTCAAGGTTCTCCAACTCATCACCAGATTTTTGGAAACATAACTCCTTTTCTGCATTTTTCCTAAACAACTTATACAGTATTATTCACCTACCTATGAGTATCTGAGTGCAAAATTTTCCAAACACGAGCTGTCTCATCTGCCTAGTTCATTTCAATCAGTGTCCACATTTTTCTTACTGAGTTTGATAATAAAGACAACCAAATAAATTTTAATTATATAATACATCTTAATCTTAAAATAAACTACTTAGAGGAACTCTGGGCTATGAGAAGTTGTAATAAATCAGGAAAAATTTCGGTTTTGGTTTTCCCAATTTTTACTCACTACTTGGGAATTGTTGACTGAAGATTTATTATATGTAATTATTTAAAATTTTAAATAAATTACATCCCTTGGTCTTGAATAGAATATGCTTTTAAATTTTAAACATCTCCCTAAAATATTTAATCAAGCTACTTTCTTTTCTTCTTTCCTTCTTTTTTTCACTCCAGCTGCCTAACTCAAGAATATAATTATTGATTACTTCACATTGATAAAGGTAGATGTAATTTTTGTTGGGGGAGTCTACATCAAAATATAGTGTATGTTTATCAAATACTAGTCTCTAAAAATTTCTAAAGATTGTATTACAAAACTAATCCAAAACAAATTTATATGTAATAAACAATGGCCCAAAGTGAATTAAATTAGCAACAAGGACAAATGCTAGTGAGAAAAATTTCTATCACTGTATTTTTTCTTAGAAAAAAAAAGCTTTTAGTTCGATAAGAGATTTTATTTGTCTCTATTTTAAGAAACCCATATTACATGTATCATATGTATTTTTTGTTCTATCTCATTGTTTTAATATAATATAAAGCAAACCATTTTCCATGAATGTTGATTTATTTTTAATTACAATACTGGAATAATGTCTTAAATACTTTGTTTTTGGTGACTAGATAACATATTAAGCATTTGTTTGACAGAATTACCTCAAAAATAATACTGATAATGGTTTTGAAAAGAAAGAAATCTAGGAGTCTGGCATACAGAATTTTCTCTCAATTACAAGAATACAGCTAACCATGAGGTGTGTATGCATATGTGTATGTATACACACACATATATATTATACACACACACACAAAAATATGTGTGTGTTTATGCAAATGTATATGCATATATGTGGTATCTGAGAAACTTTAACTAGTTTTTGATCACCTAAATTATATTTTCTTGTGTGAGCCAGGGAGGAGGGTGGGAAAAGCATAAAGAAAACCCTGTATTTACTCAAACTGTTAAAATAACTGTTGTAGTACATGCATAACGTATTCTTGGTTCTGACTTCAGAATAAATACTACTGCTGGTATGTCACTAGAGTAATGTTGTTTCTCCTCTAAAATCCAAGATTTTAATCAATAGTTGAATCTTTTTCCTTTCCTTTTTCTTTTTCACTATGTACATACTACCGAGTTATGGACATATAACAAGTATACCAGAAGCTTATGAGCATGGACTTTGGCTATCTGTGTTCTCATCCCTGTTCTGTCTTTCACTAGCTGTGTGGTCTTGGCCAATTTGTTGAACTTCCCTGAGTCATAGTTTCTTTTCTTTTTGTAAAATGACAACAGTAAGAATAATTAGTTATTGGGCAAGTATAAACACTAAATGAGAATATATGTAAATGTTTTAACACAGTATCTGATATAGTAATGCTGGAATATATTAATCACAAAAATAATGTATATATTCCAACCACTCTCTCTTCTTTCATTGCTTAGTTTCTTAGGGGAACGATAGCAAAATACCACAAAGTGGGTGGCTTTAAAGAACAGCAAAGTATTGTCTCATGGAGCCCTGGTGGCATAGTGGTTAAGAGCTGAGGCTAGGAGTCTAAATCCAGGGTGTTGGCAGGGTCATGCTCTGCCTGCTGTAGGAGACGATAATTCTTTGTCTCTTTTAGCTTCTGGCAGCCCCGGGCATTTCTTGGTATTCCTTGGCTTGTAGACAGGCCTTTACATGGCATCTTCCCCTTGTGCGTGGAACTCTCTGTATCTGTTTTTCCTTTTTATATGATGCCACTTAGAAGGGATTATGTTTAGGGCCCACCCTACTCAGGTCTGAACTCATTAACATAACAAAATAAAACCCTTATTTTGAAACCAGAGCACATTCACAGGTACAGGGTTAGGACTTTGTCTTAGTCATCTGGTGCTGCTATAACAGAAATACCACAGGTGGGTGGCTTTAACAAGAGAAGTTTATTCTCTCACAGTCCAGTAGGCTAGAAGTCCAAATTCAGGGTGTCCAGCTCCAGGGGAAGGCTTTCTCTCTCTGTCGGCTATGGAGGAAGGTCCTTGTCAGCAGTCTTCCCTTAGTCTGGGAGTATCTCAGAGCAGGAACCTCAGGTCCAAATGACCTGCTGTGCTCCCGGCACTGCTTTCTTGGTGGTATGAGGTCCCCCTCTCTCTCTGCTTGCTTCTCTCTTTTATATCTCAAGAGAGACTGACTCAAGACACTATCTAATCTTGTAGACCTCATCAACATCTGATTACATCATAGTGATAGGATTTACAACACATAGGGAAATCACATCAGATTACAAAATGATAGGCAATCATACAACACTGAGAATCACGACCCAGCCAAGCTGACAGATATTTGGGGGGGACACAATTCAATCCAAGACAGACTTTGACACTTCTTTTGGGGGGACTCAATTCAATTCACAGTATTCATCAGAAAAGAATATGTTTCTGCACATATATATGAAGAGAGTGAGAAAGAGAGAAAGAATCCCTAGGGGTGCAAACGGACCAGCCCAGCTGCTAACTGGAAGAACAGAAGTCTGTGTCCACCCTAGAGGTGTCTCAGAAGAAAGGCCTGGCTATCTACTTCTGAAAAATCAATCATCGAAAGCCCTATAGAGCACAGTTCTACTCTGCCACACATGGGGTCACGATGAGTCAGAACTGACTCAATGGCAAGTGGCATATACGTGTGTATGTGTGTGTGTCTTAAATGCATAATTATGTAATTAAATGGGAAACTGTCTTTACCACCACTGTCTAAAAATAAATTTTGTTCTGCTCCCTGCTATTGTTCTGGTGATCTATATTCACAGTGAGTTAGTTTCACCTTAGTCCATTCAATTGCAGTCTCTTTATCCCTTTTGTCCCTCCTAGACTAGCCTGCTAGTCTCCCTTGAAGTCTCAGCTCTTCCTCTATGAAACCTTCCTGGTGTCACTGTAGCAGATTTAGTTCTTCTTCTCCACCTTCCTATAGTGCCTTATCTCCTTTGGTGAATAAGACATCTAAACAGGGTAAGAGTTCAGGTTCTTCTGTCTAGTGGAATTTATTGGCACTCCTATCCCAGTGTAATCATTTGCATCAATTTATTTTCATGAGACCTCAAGATCTTCTAGGGGAAAAAAAGGCTTAAACCCTGTCTGACACTGTGATACAGGTTAGTACAAATTTATCAAATAGAATTGTGTGAGTGCTATGAAGACCAGATTTCAGGGAGAGTGAATTGGAAGTTGAAATAAGAATGCCTTTAACACAAGAAAGAGTTTAACACAGTGACCTGGATCATCAATAAGGTTTCAATATGAAAGAGGAGTAGTGATTCTTGGCTCCAAATATGCACTGATACTAGAATTAATACCCAACCATATTAGTATTTATTAACCACTAAGGGGGAAGGTGAATACGTGTATGAATTAACATTGCTGATTCACTAACATTATAACTCTTTGAACCTCAAGCAATCTGACTGTGGAAGTCCACTCCCTTTCCCTCCCATATTCTTTGAGCTCTGAAACAAAGAAATGTCAAGGCTTTGGACTGTATAGGAGTTGATAAAGTTCTTTGGCCTCAAGTTGTACCAGAAATATTCTAGTTCCCTTGGGATTAGGCCATCGATATCTGGGTATTAATGATAACATCTTTAGACCTGTACTCTGATATTCGGTGTTCTGATATTCTTGGAGGACTCCATTACTTTTGTATCTACATTATAGTGTAATTTTTTACATGTCTGTCTACATGCTAAATTCTAAATTATCAAAGGAAAGATGCATTCTGGCATAAAGTTAGTACAAATAACTTAAAGGAATACATGAATAACCTTATACCTTTATACCTGTGGGAAATTGAAATTC